AAAAAATATTATAACTCTTACCAAAAAAATATGTAACATTTATCACAAAAATACGTAACACACCACAAAAATACAGAATAAGGCGCATATGATATACACCTTTGGAGAGGTGTGTACCATAGTGTTTCTAAAATATATATATATTGAAATTGAAAATTAATAAGATATATATATATATATATATTATGGATTTGCATCGTTAATTAGGTATTATGGACCTTCAGTTTAGTCTAGTAGTCTTGTAGTCACATATTAGAGTGTTGTGAAAGAAAGGTCAGGGATTCGACCTAATGAAGTAGCAGTGACCGCTTTATTTATAATCTAACTTTACTAATAAATTAACATCCTACAATCTTGGCCAAAAAAAAAAAAAAAAAAAAAAACAAAATTAATAATAATAATAATAATAATAATAATAATAATAATAATAATAATAATAATAATAATAATAACAAAAATCATAGAAAGTCTAAAATCAAAAATCTATGACTTGTTGAAAAAAAAAAAAAAAAAAAATCCCTTAATGAAGCAAAATCTTCGAATTTGAGTTTTACCAGAGTTATGCAACTTCTCCACACTCACCAATTAATAAACAAATAAATAAACCATCTTGTCCAATTTTGTCCATCCAAGGTTGAAATATGTATACCTTCACCATAGCTAGCCCATTTTATATCGCAAACAAATGAAGCCTTATATTAAAGAGAAAAATATAAAAATATTCCTTAATGTTTTGATGAAAATATAATTTATTTTTTTATAATTTTAAAAATTACAAAAACACTCTCTCAGATTATAAGCAATCATACCCCGTCAAATGCTTTTGTATGGGCTTAAAATACTAAAATAACTTTGAAAATCAAAAGTAATATAATCAAAAGATTAACATCCATCCAAAACTACGGAAAGGCATATTTGAAGGGGTTTTTTTTATTATTATTATTTTTATTTAATTTTAAGAAGGAAAAAGATTGAAGCATTTTTTCATTGTTGCTGGCTCAACAAGTCAGTGATTTGTCACACCAAACTACCAAATTGTAACATACTGGTGTCTCCCAATAATTTTTAATATATATATATATATACATATATTATAAGAATAATAATCTTTACTATAAGAAATTAAGTTGCAAGACCTTTATTTAGCCTCATTACACTTAAAATGCATATAGTTCATACCACCAGCAACTTTTCATATAGAACCAAAATGCTGATAAAATAAATTTCTTCATATTGGTTGTCACTAGACACTGGTTTCGCACCACTCAAAACAGGTTAAGTATGTGAGATAGGATCTTCTCTAGTCGGAGGGGGAGATGTTATTGGATCCGGGCCTCATGGAACACGCCTCTTAAGCCCAAAATGATCTTCTCCAGTTGGAGTCGGGGGAGATGTTATTGGATCCGGGCCTCGTGGAACAAGCCTCTTAAGCCCAAAATTCTTCGAAGTAAGTGCAGAGTCTTCTCCAATTGGAGTCGGGGGAGATGTTATTGGATTCGGGCCTCGTGGAACAAGCCTCTTAAGCCCAAAATTCTCCAAAGTAAGTGAGATAGGATCTTTTCCAGTTGGAGTCGAATGAGGTTGTACTGGATCCAGGCCAAATGGAACACGCCTCTTAAGCCCAAAATTCTTCAAAGTAAGTGAGACAAGATCTTTTCCATTTGGAGTCGGAGGAGGTTGTACTGGATCCGGGCCGAATGGAACATGCCTCTTCATCTCATACTCCATTGAACCATAATTGTCTGCAGCAACAAGTGACAACAACAAAAGAGTAGTTGTTCCAAGCAAATACATCTTTGCAAACCCTATTATTTCTAATTACCAAGCTCTCTTTAGACAAAAACAAGCCTACTATGCAAAAGTATATATGTTTGGTTAAACATCCATTTTCTTTTATACTAAGAGCTTAGGGTTTTTCAAACTAAATTAAAATTTTAATGCTTAATGCAGAAGATATGATGTAGAGACACTACACTTAATTACAATTATTTAAGTAGGGATATAGTATTTTCTAACTTATTGGGTAATGTTAAGAATACCAAATTTTCTACGAAATAAATGACCAAATGTCTTACATGGGTGTGGACCCCACACCCATTGATAATTTGTGGATCTTACATTCATGTGAGACATTTAGCCACTTATTTGGTAGAAAATTTGGTATCCCTAACATTACCCAATAAGTTGAAAAATACTATAGGCCTCAAATTTTCTATCAAATAAATGACCAAATGTTTCACATGGGTGCGGGGTCCATATTGGGTAACGCTAGGGATACCAAATTTTCTATCAAATAAATGACCAAATGTATCACATGGGTGTGGGGTCCACATGTGAGACATTTGGTCATTTATTTGGTAGAAAATTTAGAACCTATAGCATTTTTCAACTTATTAGGTAATGATAGGGATACCAAAGTTTCTACCAAATAAATGATCAAATATCTTAGATAAGTGTGAGTTCTACATGGTATCCCTCGCATTACTCAATGTGGACCCCACACCCATGTGAGATATTTGATCATTCATTTAGTATAAAATTTGAAGCCTATATCATTTTCTAACTTATTGGGTAATGTTAGGGATACCAATTTTTCTACCAAATAAATGATCAAATGTCTCATATAGGTGTGGGGTCCACAAAAAATTTGGGACCTTTAGCATTTTCCAACTTATTGGGTAATGCTAGGGATATCAAATTTTCTATCAAATAAATGACCAAATGTCTCACATGGGTGTGGGGTCCACAAATGTCTCATATGAGTGTGGATTTATGGACCCCACACACATGTGAGACATTTGATCATTTATTTGGTAGAAAATTGGGAGCATATTGCATTTTCCAACTTATTGGGTAACGCTAGGGGTACTGAATTTTCTACTAAATAAATAACCAAATGTCTCACATGGGTGTAGGAGCCACATTTTGTAGACCCCACACCTATGCGAGACATTTAGTCATTTATTTGGTAGGGAATTTAGAGCCTATAGCATTTTCCAACTTATTGGGTAATGCTAATTTTTTTACCAAATAAATGACCAAATGTCTCACTTTGTGGATCCCACACCCATGGTATCCCTAGCATTACCCAATGTAGACCCCACACCCATATGAAATATTTGGTCATTTATTTGGTAGAAAATTTGAGATCTATAGCATTTTCTAACTTATTGGGTAATGTTAGAGATTTCAAATTTTCTACTAAATAAATGATCAAATGTCTCAGATGCGTGTGAGATCCACAAATGTCTTACATAAATGTGGAGTCTACATTGACATGTAATCATTTATTTAGTAAAAAAATTTGGGGCCTAGAACATTTTCCCATTAGAAATGTTCCAGATATGAAGTTACCAAAGCGAAAAGAAATATAAATTCGGGCAAAAATCAAAACCTAAAATTAATGTACAAAAATCATACTAGACGGGCTTGGAATATTTGTTTGGGCCGTTAGCTTTCACTTTTGGACTTGGGGTCTTCATTTCTGGGCCTAAGTTATATTATAAGGCTGGAATATTTGAGGGCCAAGGAGGCCAAGCCATAAGTCATACTATAAGGGCTGGAACATTTGGGGGCCCTATTTTTGAGGAAAATTTTAGGGGGTTCGTCTTGCCTTAGGACGGGACCCGAATCAAACCAAAAACATTAAAATCATAAAACTAGTCATAACCAAACCATATAAATATGATTCGATTCAATTTAAAACTATGATTTCACATAATCTGTACATTAAGAAAAATCATATAACATTTTTAAGAAATTCAACCTATCATAAACTTTAAAAATAATAATAACATGTGTATTAAACAAACTACTCTTATAATATTCACCATAATATTAAGCAAACATTATTCAACATTAATCTATCATGATTTTTCAAAATATAAATTTTTAAAACATAAGCATGCACATTATTCCACCATTAACTTAAACAAACATAATATCTAGCAGATAAATATATATAGTTTAAGTTATACAGTATGGTACGGTTTGGTTCAAATCCAAAACCATGAAACTAAATCTGGAATCAATTTGCGAAGAACGATTCCCCAATTTTTCAAAATCAAGATTGAACCACGAACTAAACAAACCAAACCAAACCTACCATTTTGGTTTGGACCGATTCTGTTTGCAAATTTTTCAATTTTCTTGCTCAACCTTACAAAGTATCAACTAATTCGAAAGACTAATTTCATCATCCACTAACGGAGTCCCAATTAAAACCAGAATAAAGTCCCATATAAGATGATGCTATTGGCCCTCGCTTAACTCATTCAGACCTTTATACCTTTGAATCCTCACAAACAAATTTTAAATTTTGTAAAAATTCTTTGAATATCCAACTTAAAACCAAATTTAACACCCAATCTTTCCAAAACCTAACCCTAGCTCCACCTCATCTACCACCACCTTTGGCCACCACCCCCAACCTCTGACCACCCCTGACCGTCGGTGGGTGTCGAGCCCCGGCCAACCTCCAACAACTCTCTGGCTAGTAGGAGGTCACCACAGACCTTCGGTCACTTTTTGGTGTCCTAGCCACCTCGTGTCTTCCGACGACATTTAACTACTAGCTCCAGCAAATACGTAAGAGCTTGTGAAGGTGGAGGTTGCGGTGGTGGGGGGTCTCAGTAGTGGAAATGGGCAAGGACCTGATGCCAGTGGATGGGAAAGGGAGTGGCGAAAGGGCTGAAGAAGGGCCAGGGGTGGCGTGAGGTACTGGGGAGGCTAGGAATGAAATTTTATGAGGGAAAAACTGTAAAAACGAAATAAAAATTATAAAAGGATGTCAATGAAATTGTGCGGGTGCTATTAGTTGCACTCAAATTATATTAGTCAACAGTATTTAAAAAGCGCAAAACTTTTCGTTAAACAAGCGGTTCACAGTTAGATCCACCTGTTTCTTTACTTTACCAGATTAATTACAATTTTTACATTGAAATTATTCATCTAATCCCAAAAGATATGTATGACAGTCTAAAACTAATTGGCCAATGACATTAAAAATGTAAATTAAAAGGCAATAAAATACAAGGTTAAACTTTACTGTGTAGATGTGGAATTTGAGTCTTCCTTCAACTATTGACTAAGAGATGCAATGCATATTCCAAGGATTAGTAACAATACACATGAAAGTATTTCAACTCCAATTGCTGCTAGCATAGGCACAATAATTGCACACGAAATTTTTTCACCCCCATCAATACAACCAAACAATCCGAACATACTAACGAAGGTATATTTGATATCATACCCGAATCCATACCGTGATCAAGAATGGACATTTAAACGAAACTAGCAAATTTTGACAAAAAACATCAGCGTTTGGCATCTCTATTCACTCTAACCACGTTTTGTCAGGAAGTCCTTGGTTCTCTTCCTCATGCGAGTGAAAACGATAACCACACAAGCAAGGATCCAAGGAGGAAATCTACCACCAGACAAGTTCAGTTTTTTCATCCATTCTGGACTTTCCTTCATAACCAATACTATCATGAAGGTTGAAACTGCTACTGCTAGCAAGATCTTGGTAATAGGTTTGATTAAGGAGTCCTGAAATCATAAAAATTATAAATGAGATGAAGAATTGACTAGTCGTGTCTAAATCTATGCAGCATAAGCTACTCACACAAGCAAGCTGAAGTACAAAACAAGTATCGTGCATACGAAAAAAAAAGTGTCAAGGAATTTAGAGCACTTCAAATTTTGCTGAACAAGAATGCAAACACACTTGTGGAATAGAAAGCTATATTGAAATGTATTCAATACAAGAACATAACATTGTCACATCATGCTCTCTGTGGCAGTATTGATATTTAAAAAAATCTCTTCCCACTTAGAATATATATATCTGCAACTACATCAGCACGTGTATATTATGTATGCATCAATTGAAGAGAGCTACCAAAGCACCTAAACTTCAATGCAACAGTTTCAATTGCAATCCACTGAGAGAAAAACATTTAGGCGGGGAAAGACAAAAAAAACGGAGAATAAGTTTCTTTTTTATTTCAAAAAAAAAAATCAAAGATTTTAAATACATAAATCAGTTCATGCTACTAAAAAAGTTGGCGGACATGCAAGTTTAGAAATATCAGCACGTAGGGATGCCTTATACTCCACACTGTTTACAGGATACATCTGCAATAATATACAGATTATATCAACTAAAGGGAGTAAAAGATTAAAAGGGGAAAAACACACACACAGAGAATCCAAGATGCACCAAAATTCAAATATGGTCACAAGCTTACAACATAAAGAAAAAATGCAATTATGTTGATCCAACTATGTGAAAACTTATAATACAGCATATTGTTCTTATATCCTATCATTGTGCATGGATTTCCAAGCACACAACAAAAAACTAAAGCATTGGAATGATAATCTACACAATGTCATGAACTTGGTAGAAGACAATGGCACAGGGAGAAACGCCCTTATTGTCACAGCGGCAATATGCGATTATAAGATTTCAACCAGCTACACATGACAACCTGCCCTAATTGTGCATGCATACAAAATTTGAATAAAGCACAAACTATCCCCAGAACAGAAGAGAAACAGTACAGCTTGCAGCCGAGCTGACCACAAATGCCAAGCTTTCTTTGTTAAGTGAAAGCAATCATGGTAAATCTACTTCAGAACTAAGTATTCGGGAAGACCTAAGAAACATCGACACTTCTAAGAAGGTAACGCGTCATGTCCGACACTGACATGACACAAATCGGACACTTCCAAACACTTAGACACACATAAAACACATAACAAGTTTGAATAAAATAACCTGAAATTTAACGATAAACAAAAACAAAGTAAATTTATACTTATTCTCCTCCTTTAGACCTTTAAAAATTATTATCTTTGACTTAAATATTTATATATATGACATATAATAATTATTTATTGTTATATATGACATGTCATACATTTTCTTAAAGTTTCCATGTCAACATGTCCATGCCTATGCTTCTTAGTGGAGGATAACTGAGAGAAATTTGGAGAAAAATTGTCACATCTATATTGTTTTGAGTACCAAATCTCAATATTCATTTGGACAAGTCTTTCTGCTCTAACTGAGATTACTACAGTGAATCATCAAGGGATCCTTTAAAATTTTCCTATATCATTAATAGTTATGAATTGGATATCATAATGCAAAAAGGGCCAAGACATCATTATAAAACTCTCTATCTCCATTAGAATGAGGAAGAAATGTTACCATAACTGCACCCGTCATACCAATTACTTTTTCCTATGCAGCTTAGATGACATAACAGTAAAGCTCTCTAAAGGACAAAGAAAGTCATAGGTAAACTTCAAGTATGAGAAACACTAAGCCTGGGGTGGAGAAAGCAATCAGCTGTCTTTCTAAATCTACTACCCTATAGTTAGAACTAAGAACTCAGGAGGACAATTGAGGATAGAATTTGGTGGGAAAAAATGTACAAAGTCTATATTGTTTGAGTGCTAAATCTCATTATTCATTTTGGCAAGTCTTTCTGCTTTAACTGAGATAACTACAGTGAATCATCAAGGGATCCTTTAAAAATTTCCTATTCATTAATAGTTCTGAATCGGACATTGTGGGAGCCGAATATATGTATTACTTAATCGGCAAACAAAGTGCATCTAAGCCCATCACTGATGGGCCAAATTCAGCCTGGGCCCATAGGGTTTAAGCAATTCGATGCCAAGTGGATCCAAGTAGGTTGAAGCAGGTGCCGAGTACGGGATGATGGCCTATTAGCATTGGTGCCAAGTAGTGAAATAAGATCGACATGATAGTCCACTTTATGTCGGCCCAAGCTGTCCCATTCTCAAAGTGTTGTAGGAGGATGGGCCATGACATGGCAATGATCATAAGCTACAGGAAAAAATATCTGAGGAAGGATCACTATAAAAGGAAGGTAATAGCAAATAAGAAGGTATGCTCTAACAATTCAAACTCTCTAAAATAAAAAACTCCTTCCTCTCATCCAAAGACTAACTTGCCCGTCGGAGTGCTAATTCTGGCACCACCAACCGGAATATTTTCTTATTTCAGGCACCAAAGCTAGGATCTTTCAAGGGTTTGTTTGGAACAAAGGAGTATTGTAAAACCACCCCTCACAAACATCATAATGCAAAAAGGGTCAAGACATCATTATAAAACTCCCTCTCTCTCCATTAGAAATGAGGAAGAAACGTTACCATAGCTGCACCCATCACACCAATTACTTTTTCCTATGCAGCCTGGATGACATGTCAGTAAAGCTCTCTAAAAAAAGAAAGTCATAGGTAAACTACAAGTATGAGTAACGCTAAGCCTGGACTTCCCTTGTTTGCAAACAGTTCAGGAGATTGAAGATGCTTAGATACTTGAATTTGCCTTTTAGAGAGTATACACAAAGAAAGCCCTATTAACATCCAGTCATCCAGTAATGAAGTTTATCAAAAAGTCGCCTACTTCTAAGACCAATTTTCGAGATTTATATCATAATTTTTTCTCAACTCCCCTTCACTTTGAAATTAGGATTTGAATTCCAACCATGAAATGCAACACCTAATTTTCAGGCAGACTACGGCTTACATCCAATTCATCACATATTTTAATTAAAAAGACCACCGCTATTTATAGGTGAAACAATATAACATGTGATAAGTAAGAATAATGAGCTTTGAATGATGGAAGATTCTTGGGACGTGAATCACTCTCATCCAATTTACAATCAATGATAGGTGAAACAATATAAAGTGATAAAAGAATAACAAGCATGGATTGATGGAGGATTCTTGGGATGTGAATCAAACTAATCACTTTACAATTGATGGTATACGAATAATTCTGTCATTCAGTTCGTCTTCTTCTTCAACATGTATTTCAAGACACTAGTAAAATTAACACAGATCTGTTTAATTCAAATAGTATAGCAAATTATATACATCTAATATTTGTGGGTTGTGCTACACAACTCATCCCTTTTTGGGTGCATACAATATGCAAATATCACTTTGAGACATAACCAACAACACGTTGGCATGTAAACAAACACCACTTTGAGTCGTAACCAAACACCATTGTGGATCATAACCAAAGCTAACCCATTTTGATTTGTTCATAAGTGAACACCAACACCACTTTGTACATAACCAGCACCACCTTAAAGCATAAAGCAGTAGGATATGTGATAAATGAGAATAATGAGCATTGACTGAGTCACTAATAGAGGATTCTTGGAATATGAAACACTCACCAATTTAGGCCATCTACAGCCCTTACTCAAATTTTTACTTAAAATTTGAGTAAAAGCTTTGTTTGATGAACCACTTGAATGAACAAACTCAAATCTAAGCATAAATATGAGTAAAAGTTTCAGTAATGGCAAGAGAGATTTGAAAGTACAAAATGGTCTTGAAATTTTTTACTAAAGGTTTCAATGTCTCTTGATTTGGGTAAAAAAATGAGTAAAACTCAACTTGATATAAGTTTAAGTCAAAGAGTACAGAGATTTTTGAGTTATTTTTACCCAAAAATTTAAATTTGATATAGATTTGAATGAAGGGTTGAGCATGCCCTTACAATCAATGATATAAACAATTCTATCATGCACTGCGTTAACATGTATATATATATATATGCATATTTTTGGTACATCAGAATAGGCTTTAACAGGTATATCAGACACTAGTGAGTTTAACACACATCTATTTAATTCACATAGTAAATCAATTTATATACATTTATATCATAATCAACATATATTTGCATATGTATATGTCATGTGCATGCACACACTCACTGATATTGACATGGGTGTCAATAGTTTCATGAACAACACTTATCAAACATACATTTTAGTCTCAAATTTGCAATTGACCCATCATTTCCCACTCAAAAACGTAAATTCTATGGCAATCTCCAAGTGATCCTAGTTATGGGGAGACTTCAAAAGAGGATAACAGAAGAAGAAAATTTAAAGCGAAACTTCATAACTTGAAGAATGTTAGAAGGAAATTCTGAATCCTTGTTTTGTTGGAGTAGTTTATTTTGATGGAGTAGTTTATTTTGATTATTTTTGTGCTCCCATGAAAAGCTGTGTATTGAATTTCATTGTATATCTTTCTTTTTTCTTTTTTAGTTATAATATGACTTACTTATCCAAAAAAAAAAAAATCATATCATCATGGCCTAATTAATTACTACCAAAATTTCAACTTCTAAACAACAAAATTGAAAAATTGCGCTCATATCCAAATCACAACTTGTTTCCAAAAGCATCTATACAATATATAGTCATGTATATGTATATATATACAATAGTATACAAATATATGCTAGGACGTTATATATATATATATATATACCTTGGGCTCTCCATCCATTGAAAGTACAGATCCATCGGCGTAGGAAAGCGTAGATCGACCATTTCTCGGGTTGAACAAAATGGGGACTCCGCGACCCGTCTCGGTGTTGAAGGCGAAGAGCGATTTGAAACCGTACTTGTCGAGGATGTCTCGGACTTCAATCTGGTCCTGTTCCCACCCACCCAAACCCGACTTGAATACGTCGATCGGGCCTTTTCCTCGCCGGTAGAGGTGGACCTCGACCTCCGGGACCTTTGTCCCCACCGACCTAGACCTATCTGTGTTCTGTAATAGCGGCGATGACTCGTCCTCTGCAGCGGCGGCGTTGGGTGTTTCTTCGATCTCTGCGGCGGTTTGGTTGTCTGTCTCCATGGTAAAAAACACTGGCTTTGTTTGGCCGGCTAGTGCTATGAGGTGGGACTTTGCATGCTCATCTTCCCACACCTTCCTCCACCTAATGCCTCGTTTGGAATATGTAATTTTACTATTTTTTATTAAAATATATATATAAAAAAAATAATCATACATGTCACTAAAAGTGGCGCTAGTAAGTTGGCACACATTTTGCAGTTATTTGGATTTTTTTAGAGTCTATTTTGATAATTCGAACTATTCATATTTTAGAATACATCAAGTAGGACATACCTGTAAAAAATTAAGTTAATCGGATATCGTTTACCTATTCATCCACTCACATTTGTATTCATTTTAATACTTTAAATTACAATTGTTATTTATTTTTGTAGATACAAATGTGAGTGGATGAATGGGTAAACGATATCCGATTAACTTGATTTTTTATAGGTATGTTCTACTTGATGTATTCTAAAATGTGAACGGTTCGGATTATCAAAATGGACCCCGAAAAAGACCCAAATGGTTGCACAGCAATGGCTGATGTGCACCCCCACACAGCAGCCACCCCAATTCCTTAAAAGTGGTGCTCTAAAAAAAATAAGGAAAAGCAGCATTGTGGCAGTGGACCACCCACTGCTATATCATTAGTGTTACCACTAATTAATGATCTCAACCATTTTCTTTAAAAAAAATTTAAAATGTAAAAACTTATAATAATTTTTTGATTTTTTTTTACTAAAATATATAATTGACAAGCGAGGCTTAAATAAATGAAATAGTTGGTAAGCCACCTATTATTTAGGGATTGTTTGGAGTTTGTTTATTTAAGTCTCGTTTGGGAATTAATTATTTTAATAATTTTTTTATTTTTTATAAAAAAAAATATGAACAGGAAAAATATAAAAAATTATGTGATAATTTATAGTAATTTTTTGATTTTTTTTTTTATTTGCTAAAATGTTTAGTCTCCAAACAAGACTTTAAGTGTACTTCTTAATTTTTTTACGAAAAGATGTATAAAAAAACATAGAGATTATATGACCTAAATAAGTGTACTTATTTAGTGCCTTCCCAAACAACCCATTAATAGTATTTTCGCGATTATTTCATAATTGTTTTATGCTCGTGATACTTACTGATTAATGAAATTATTTATTTTATGAAAGTTGACTATTTTAGTAAACTATTTTAATTTTTGACTGTTTTTGTAAGTTAAAATATTTGTGTTTGGAGAGAGAGTTGAATTTTTTTATAGTTGAATGTGATGCTGATGAGAGAAAAAATGAAATGATTATAAGATTAATGTGACATTTTGTCTTATTGACTATTTTAATCTATTTTGGTTATGTTTGGGATACTACTTTGGATTAAAATAGCCATATAAGACAAATTTAACTATTTTAGCCAAATACGACAAAATGTCACATCTAACTCACAATCAATTCTTTTTTTTTTTCTCACAAAAGTCAAAAAAATCAAAAAAATCTATCCCAAAATAAGATTTTTAGTCCCAGGCTAAAATAGCCAAACAATCAACCCACATCCCAAACGAAGGCTTTATCTTTTTGTGAATTTTAGTCACACAAAAAAAAAAAAAAAATTTAATTTCCCAAACACGCCCTTGTTGTTTTAAAAATGATAAATTACAAATAAACCTTCTAAGATTTGCTTAAAATACAAATTGCCTCATCTGGTTTAGAAAATTACAAATATCTTCTTGTCATAATTTTTTATTTAACAAAATTAATTGAAAAAATAAAATTTCTAACTGTTCACCTATACAATAATAAAATTATCTGAATTATTAATTGAAATAAAATTTTAATATTATTAAAAACTATTAATTAACTTGATAATTTATTAATAAAATGACCTATTTATTATGAAATTATAAACTTTAATTGAGTATAATATAATTTCTAAAATTACAAAGAGTAATTTATAATTTAAATGTGTTTTTAATTTACCCTTTTTGAAAAATATATTTTTATTTATACCTATGGCCCTGATCGTAGATCACAAAAAAAAAAATTGGCTCCAACTGTGCTGATCCAATACGCATACTTTGCAGGGTTAGTCCAACCAAGTTTTTGAAACTCTCACATCCCAAGAAGAAAAAGGTCAATGCTTAATCAACGTATTCTGTCACCTGTTGAAAGGTTTCATAAGCAACTTTACCATACTCTCCCAGAATCAGAATACTCCAATCTAGCTTCAGAACTAGGGATGATAATTGAACTCGGTCTGATGGGACCTGACTTCCCGATTTTAATTTAAGCGAATTTTTCTTGAAAAATATCCCTATTGAGACGAGGATGGTATTTAAAAATTAATTCCCAATTAGATTCGGACCAGGGACAGAGATAAGTGTCCCAGCCCCGTACCCGGCCCGTCCTCATTTGTCCCCGAAGTGAAATTACTAGTTTACCCCTATATATATATATATATATGGTAACCAAACCCTCATCCTCTCATCTCAATTCTGTCTTTTGTGTCTCTCTCTTTCTTTTTTCCCTCTACTCTCTCTCTCTCACTCTCGCACTGTTCGCAACGCTGATCGTCACTGTCCGTGACGCCGATTGGCCTCCTCCATTGTCCATCGCCTTCATCATCGCAGTCATAACCACCCATTGCCTCTGAATTTCCAATCGTCCTCCTCCGTTGTCCATCGCTATTGTCCGCGATGCCGATCGTCCTCCTTCGTCCACCATCGCCTCCTCCAATCTCCTCCGTCGTCCATCGCCGTCGATCGTTTATTCTCTCTATCTCTCTATCTCTGTGTAACACAGATACACAGATATGTATGTGTGTGTATCTGTCAATTTTTATTTTTATTTTTCTAGTGGATCTATTGATGATGTCGGTCGTCCACTCTCTATCTCTCTCTCTCTCTCTGTGACACATATCTTAGATCTGTTTGTGTATATATGTATACATGTATGTCTGTGTGTATTTGTCCATTTTTTTGGGGGGTTTATGATCTGTTGATGATTTTGTTGATATGTTTGTAACGCCTCAAAAAAATTAGGCAGGGTATATCTATTTATACAACAAACCCACCTAATAGACAAACACATATATCTAGCTAACTATTCCATACATCCATTTCCATTAAATCCCAGATACCAAATACATGTTGTTCACCTCTCAATGCCCCAGTTCTAATCCCAAGCATGCATTTTACAACAAGTGTGAAATAGAAGCCGAACAAATAATAAATGCCCTACAGGCTTATAAATTTATCCAAGAACATTCTTGGTTACACAAAATGGAGTTTCAACTCAACGCAAATACAACACTGGGCTTACATTCAACAAATAACCATAAAACAAAAATGAAGTCTCAACTCCGAGTTCTCTCAAGTCAATGTCTTGGTAGAGGCATAGCACCTGTACCTGAAATGGTTTCTCTTATAGGGTGAGCCACGCCCCAGTAGAGATATACTGCACAACATATGGACCATGACAAGACTAGAGGAGTATGCTCATGCCATGCTCATGATAAAACAGTTTATCTCTCTCTTTATAAAGCATGCAATGCTGAGATGCAACAACAGATATAAAACCATTTATATTTTAAACCATATCTGTTACATGCATGCAGGCTCTGTGAATCTCTAGGTGAGTGTCTGCAAGTAGGCCCTAATGCACTACCATTGTCATTTTTACCAGTAAAATGGAAGGCTCGACACCTAACCGCGCAATTCCATACCCCCTACCCAGATCCACCAAGTATTCATCTTTTCGCAAATGGGTACATTTCCAAACATTTCTCAAAAATAGATACATTTCTAATGAAATGAATGTAATGCAATGTCCAATGCAACAAATGAGGAATGTAGTTCAATTTACCTAAGTCTCATGCATTTTTACAACAATCATGGCTATCCTCCACCGATAGCCCAAAACAGATATTTCTAAACAAATATTTAAATAATTAAATTCCAAAAAATTCTAATAAATACAATCTATTCCACATCTCATCAAATATGAACAACTACACTAGTTTTCATATTACAATCACGTCCGGTAACCTCTCAAGGTCCATTTCTAACCGTGTCGGTTTTATTCCAACAGATACATTAAGCAAAATGATACCGTTAATGCCCAAGAAAACATCATTTTCTTTCCAAACTCATTCTCCAAGCATTATTCAACTATAGCATCCTATTTTGATCAAAAGTCCCAAAAGTTAAACGTAATTCATTTGTTTTCTTTAAAAATGCTCTTTTGGTCGCAAAACGGTAAAAATTTCAAAACCGATTGAATCGAAGTCTATTTTTGTTCAAATTTAAAACATAGCTCTTTCATAACCTTATAAACATATTCCAAGTTCACACTTTCGCAATTTGGGCATCAACTCTTTATTTCTCTCAAAATTTTCCTTTTAAGCAAATAAATCACAAATTTTCCAAAAAATCTAATTAAATTATATACAACTCTAAACTCCATATAATCAAGTAAAAGTACATAAAAAAGTGTAGAAAAAATCTCTACCTCAAGCCAAGAAGCTTTCAAATTTTTTGGCAACAGAAATTAAATCTGCTCGGAACCAAACGATGCCTTTTTCGCCCTTTACGTTTTGATCCAAAGCACTAGGGGCCAAAAATGACTTATACTAGATCAAACCCACGAAAAAACAACATTTGAACCCTTTTTTCTCTCTTTCTCCTCACAGCAAGAACCCAAAGTTGAACAAACATCGTATTTGGTCACTTTTATATATATTTATATATATATATATATATATTATAAACAAATATCTAACCATAAATATCTAACTATATATATATATATATATCAATCAAAAATACATTTCAACATCTTTAATAACAAAAGTAAATATAATATTTTCTCACCACAAAATATATTTCGTTTAATGGTACACACTATAAATATTCACAATTCTTTTATGGTAGTCAAATAATAATAATAATAAAATCACAACACTATTAAATGGTTACTAATGGGTCATAATTCAATCAATTGGGTCCAAAATAAATGGAATTTAATAATTTAAAATAAATCCCCAACTGATTTATCTCAAATCATTGTCCGAACACCAAAAACTCAATTTTAAATTCTGCTATAAATTAAACTGAACACCAATCAGTTCATG